CATTTTGTCAAACTGTAAACAAGAAAGGTGAAGAGACCTATTTGATTGAAAAAACAAATCTGTCTCATTTGATTTGCTAAAAAAATTATTACTGTATAAGATATTATTGGTCTACTTAATAAAATTAAATGCTGAAAATGTCAATCTCAGCTTTAATAATACAATGTGAAAATGCGTATGTTATTGAATCGATCGTGCTAACTGGGCCCGTCGGTTGCATCGACCCTTTGTCACTGGCCCTAGCATAACTGAGTTGTCTACCCTGACTAGCCTGGCAATGGTATAGAAACAAATATCAACAGTAATTATTTCAAACTCAAAAAGTCAAGTGGCGCAGTGCAGAAGTCAAGTGGCACAGTACGAAAGTCAACTGGCGGCACACGCAATTGAGTTTGCTCTGCGCCACTTTAGTTTTGCACTGCACCACTTTAGTTTTGCACTGTGAATTATGTTTGTCCTTTTGACGTGATATCGCCAAAAGGACAACCACAAGTGGCGCAGTGCAAAAGTCAAGTGCAGTGCAAAAGTCAAGTGGCACAGTGCAAAAGTCAAGTGGCGCAGTGCAAGAGTCAAGTAGCGGCACACGCATTTGGATTTGCAATGTGCCACTTTAGCTTTGCACTGCGCCACTTGTGGTTTGTCCTTTTGGCGTTCCATAGGAGGCAATGTTGGTAACTTATTTTTAAACGTTTCTTAAACTATAGTTCAGAGAATTAAATATACATTTTTATCTTCAAGTGCTAAAGTGATTTTAAAGTAGACTTATAAGGCTTTATTAATTTATTTTATTGAATTCCAATTCTGTGAATTTACAACACAAGTGTGTCAACCCACTTTACCTAGTATTATTATCTCCCTGTAAGAAGAACATATACAGTATTGAGTGATGATTTACCTTGGCTCTTTGTTGATCTCTATCATACCCCCATGACTGTATTAAGCAGTCTAAATGCATGAATGTTACGATTTGATTACATTATTATTGTATTTGTTCTATTTCATTTTTTTATATGTCTTATATACGTGCAAAGTATTGTATTCTCATTGTATCATTATTAATAGAGCTACCTGGACATTGAATAAAATAAATAAAAATGAAATACCACAATTTTGGGTGAATTCTGTAATTAATTCTGTTATTAGGTGCATAAGCAGAGCATAAAACACTTTAACATGCCTAAATTATTTTGAGAAATCGTAGGAACCATTATCTTTTGGAACATTGGCAAATAATTTTGGCAATATTCTCCAGTCCAATTTCCAATCAATTCTGATTAGTTTTAATTGAATTTATTCATTAATCATGTAATTAAAACAACAGGACAAGAAAGGCAAAAATGCAACAAACGACCCTGATTAATTAATAGGATAAGCCATAAAAAGTGGGTCCCATGAAAACGATTTAAATTTGCAAAAAGAACAAAAAACACACACAACGTCTAAAAAGAAATAAAATTCAATGAAAAATTGGTCTAAACATGTTTTTAAAATTTTACAAGTGGAGGAGGTATACCGTCTTACCAAACAATTTGATGCCTGATGTTTACGGGCGCTATTCGTTATCAAAGTCATTCAGCTAACAGTAATTGTGTATTACCCATCTTTTTCATATTTTGTTTTCCCACTCTGGGCATGTATCTACTCTGATTGGCTGAAAATGAAGAGCATCCATACGTCACGGTGGAAATAGATGAAAATTGAGGGGTTCTTATGAGAACTTATTAAATTCAAGAGGCACATTTAGAATGTAAAACGATTACTGAAGACATCAGGAAACTGCAAATTACGAATGGTGGTGCGGCGGAAAAGATAATTGTTCAGAGAGCATGCTTGTCATGACAAGAATGTTGTGAGTACAGTATTACATAACAGCAGAATAGCAGATAAAATTAGTGGTGGTGGTTAGCTTGTTGGCCATCGGCAGATTGAGATTAGCAGGATTGCATGATCATTGCAGGTTTTCTTGAAAACTCAGATGAGAATGTGTTAGGTGCAAATTGTCGGAAAAGCAGTAGGACTAGGCTATAGAAAATAAATGTAAGAAGATGAAAGTTGGAAATGCCTCTGTCCAGGGAGCTCTCATCTGTCCAAAATAAATATCCATATTTTGATATTGACTAAAGGATAATGTGATTCCACTCCACACCTCAAATCATGCCAATACCCACAGTCCAGGGTTGATTGAATTAGGGCGCTTATTCAAACGGGGCGCTTATTCGCGCGAGTACGGTGTATAAGAAATTCAGATAGGCCTATTTGTGGGCACTGAGATGAATGTAGGTAAGAATGGCCCCGGAAAAAATGGCCCCAGAAAAAATGGCCCCGGAAAAAATGGCCCCAGAAAAAATGGCCCCGGTAAAAATGGCCCCATATGACAGGTAGGTAAAAATGGCCCCAAAGAAATGATATATTTTTTTTTAATCTTCAAATATTTAAATACTGTATAAGCAAGAATTGAATTAAAAAAAGAAATAAAAAATGGCCCTCAATTATAAAATTAAAGAAAAAAAAAATAAATAAACAAATGTTGTAAAATACCTTGTAGCAAAAATGTAATTAATAAATCAACATAAAGAATATGCATATTTGAGAACTAAAATAAATTAGTTTTTAGCTCCTATGAGTAGCTCTGGGAGTAGGTCTAAGTATTTTTTTTAATTATTAATATTATTAGATATTATTACTATATTTG